AGAGAGAGAGAGAGAGAGAGAGAGAGAACGTGAGAAAGCAAGCCACCAGACTGGGACTTGAACCAAGGGTGGCCATGTGGGAGTCCAGCACCTTTAACCACCATGCCACCTGCCAGCCCCAGACCCCTCATCTTTGTGACTGTGCTGTGAGCGTCCCTGAAATGCTGCAGTGTACCTTCCCTCAAGCTCAGGAGGAGGCCTGACCTGAGCCAGGTGTGAGTTTAAACCGTTGTGTAAACTGCTAAATGGTGGACTCGGGAGCTGATGATCACCGGGACGACAGAAACCAGGGCTGACTATCGACACCCAAGCTCGGGTGACCCCCTGGTGAGTCCTGCTGTGACTGTTCACAGGACAACAGGTCTTCTTCCTCTGTGCACATGCTTTTGGCATCACAAGCACACATTTATGTTTGGCTCCTAAAGTGAAACCGTCTAAGGCAGCACAGGCCTTACTCGTACTGATTATTTCTTGCTTGTTTCATACTCGGAGCGTTCTAGGAGCTGCAGTGTAACTCCATTAAAACGGTATTTGCTCTGAGTGTTGTACGGTCCTAGGTTATATGTGAACCAGTCTCACCTCCATTGAAACTGATCATTTTTCAGAGGGGTGAAATATAACTTAGTTTTACGCAGGTAGGCTTTGAAATCTTTTAAGTTTTTTTTTAGGGGGAGAGTAAAGAGGTGTGTACCTTTGACAAGGTCTTGTATGTCACAGCTTCCCCCCACCCCCCAGCCTCGCAGCCCAGGAATGCTCAGCATGTTCAGGTCCATCAGGATCTGAACCCTCACCTCCCATGTGGCTTCGATATCACGTGGCAGCAGCTTAACACCTGTGCCACATGGCTGGGCATAAAGCCGTTTTTATGATCTGTTTTTTTCCCTGCTAGGCTTTTGTCATGTAACTTGACCTATATTATGAAGGCAATTCCAAAAGTCTATTTTAAGGGAGACACAGAGCCCTGTGATTTCAGTCTAAGCTAGTTGCGGTGTTGGCCAGAGCCACCATTGAAGGGATCCTTGAATTCAGATCTTCACACTGTCCGCGATCCTCCCATGCTCAGGTCCATCTCGGCCGTTGATGGAGTTAGGTGGGGGTTGGGGGAGTATGCAACTGACAAAGAGCTTCCTTGCTTGGACACTGTACAGCAATGACCATGTTCCTCATGAAGCCAGCCTCGTGAAGGTACATTTCCAAGGAATGGATTTTCTGCTCTCCCAAACGTAGTGTCATTGTGGAAACCTCACCCTGTTCTGGTAATAACTTAGGCGCCATTGTCTTTTTGAGCAACTCACATCTCTTGCACCCAGTGCTTATGTGCGGAGAATAGGGTCAAGTGGGGAGAGGGGTGATTTCACTTGGACTTAGGGTTCCTTTTCTTCCGAAGGGAGGATGAGGAGGAAAGGCCCACGCCTTTGTCCAAGTGACTGTAGTAGGCACCTCAGAAGACAGCCATGGGGGGGACTGCTGCTTGTGCTTGCCAGGAGCACAGGGCTCCCAAGAACAGCTGGAGCGGACCACCAGTTCCTGAGGACGGGGCTGATTCTTGGGCAGAGCCTCATGATCTTCTTTGTCTTGGTCAAAACACATTTCCTTTTCCCTTTATCATTCTCCACTCAGTTGCCCAGCTCCCAGCTTTTAAGGAGATTAGCAGCTCCCACTTCCTGACTTGGTTTCCCATGTTGGGTGGGAGCCTGGTGGCACAACCTGCAGAGGGACCTGGGGTCTGGACCCAGTGGAGATGCAGAATCCGTGTTTCAGGACTCTGCCAGACCCACCTCCTCATGGTCCTAGACTCTCCTCACCCACATCCCTTACAGAAGGTGGGCCTTGTTCCCAGAAGAGCCCTAGATGCTATGGCCCCTCCCCTTGTAGGCTGGCCAGCATGGCCTCCCTCACCTGGGCTCTTAGTTCTCACCTGGGGCTGCCTCTTGGTTGAGTAAAGCTCTTCACCTATTTGTATGGGGACCATGTTTTCCGAGGTAAAGAGGTCTCAGCTTTGATGGCAGCTTACGAGGCATTGTCTAGGTGCTAACGGTGTTGGGTTTTCAGAACATGCAGATGATTTATGAGAAGAGACAGGCAGATTATGTGAAGTCTAGGCTTTTATGGCCTGTGGGTTTCCAATCTTTTGGCTGTTTAAGACCCTGTCTCTCCCCTCCACCACCAAATGCCTGTCTGCTGAGGCTTCTTCCCTTTATTCTTGAGTCAATGAGATACTAGCAGCATGTTTTTAAATGATTGCAAAAATGTAGTGCTTAATATGTGCCAGGCCCAGTGTTCAGGGTTGACACATACATTATCCCTTTTAATAAGTCAGATTTAGGGGCCAGCAGGTGGAGTAGTGGTTAAGGTGCTGGACTCCCACATGACTGACCATGGTTTGAGTCCCAGACCCTGAGGCTTGAAACTCACACTGGGTATGTGTACATATGTGCCCAAAAGTCCAGAAGAAGAATGGAGGAAAGGGGATTGTGGCATGGCCATCCCCCCCCGGAAGTGATTTCTCATTTTCTTTCTCTGTCTCTCCAGCAAGTGTACACATCCTACAGCAAAAATAAAAAAAGAAGTCAGATTTGGGGCTTACAGCCTTAGGTCTGGGCAGGCTACTAGGCTTAGCTCTGGGCCTGCACACAGTAGGTCTGATACAGTACCTTCTACACGAGTTGGTTGTCAGGATTCAGTGAGAGATGCTTGCACATAAGCATCTAGCACCATGTGAGGCCCTTAGTGAGCACTCAGTAAATGGTAGTGACTTAGGTTGAGTGTCAGTGCAAAGCCACCACACTGCAATCACCTTGCACTCAGCCTGGAGTGCACAGTCTGATAACTGACCACACCATCCTTCCAAGAGAGGATGCACCCCCTCTACAACTTCTTCATGTGTCACTGTCACTTAGAAGGGCAGCCCGACAACAGGATAGAGGACGCGAGGGTGTTCAGAATTTCTCTGTTCTCAGTGAAGAAGCCTGGCTGGAAAATCTCGCCCACTTCTTGTGCCTTTCCCCCTCTGGCCAGGAGCTGTGCTCAGTGACACAGCTCAGGACCCTGTAGCCATTCCCTATATGGGGCTTTTGGGAGCATTTTCAGGGGCCGAGAAGGGTGGGGAAGACAGAAAGCTGCCTTGTAGCAGATCATACAGACTGAAGGCCTGAAAATTCTGTCTGCATTCTGCAGTGTAACCAGTCTGGGGCCTCCAGTTTCATTCTTTCTGGGAAGTACTAACACGATAGATGCAGGTGACCTGTTGAGGACTGATGATTTGGGGTACTTCCATTGGGTTCCAGGTTAGCAAAGGATCACATGGATGGTTCTAGATGAGGGGAGAACAGACACAAGATGGAGGGGAGAGTGTTCAGCCTTTGACAAGGGGATTGGAGGGGTGCGTGTGCGAGAGTAGAAACTTTGCTTTGAAGAAATGCTGTTGGCTCACAAGACTCATGGAATTATTTTCTTACAATTAGTTATTTTATTTGTAACTACTTTTGCTTTTTAAGAATTATTTAATTTTATTCATCATTATCATTTTTCATTTTGATGAGAGAGAGAGAGAGAGATAGAGAAAGAGAGAGAGAGAGAAGGTGACCATGGTTGGCCATATGGAAGTC